CACCGCCCTCTCTTTCCTCCTCCCTCATCCCACGACTAAGCAGCCCAGAAGCAATATCTGCAATACCATCGTCCGAGAAATACGTATTCACCGGGAGGGGCCCCGGTTTGTCGCTTTCATAGAGGAAGTGGACGCCCAGGGATTCGTGCTCTGCACGCGCGGCTTTGAATGCGCGGAGTTTTTCTTGCTCTTCTTTCTGCCACAGGCGGTCCTGGCCGGCAGCTCGGCGGGATTGGATGTAGAGTTCCCAGGCTTTTGGAGGGAGGTTTGGAGAGCTGTGGTGATGGCTATGGCTGTTGTGGTTGTAGCGCGGTTGTTTACGGCGCTTGCGGTTGCAGGACGTTGGAAGAGGGATACGGCTAGGCTGAGTAGCCATGGAGGATGAAGGACCGCTGTCCCTTTCTTACCTGTTAGTCGGTTTGTTTGATAATGAGGGGGCAAGCGAGAAGGGGGGCTCCTGCTCTATAAGGAGGAGTAATGGATCTCCACCCCTAGATGTATAAATTGAGTCGGTAGTGGGATGATCAATTGACTATCCAAGTGATGGCGGCTCACCTGGGAGATATTAACTGTGAGAAAAAAGACCCGGCCGGCGACATAGGGCTCAATTTGAAACAAACCACGAAAGCTTACCCTCGTGCCGGAATACAACTACTGCTTGCCTCTCACGAATGATCACTCGTTTTGGCATCGTGCCCTGTAAGAGCGAAACAAGTAGGGGCTATCAGACGGAATATCCACATGAACACTAGCAACAATTCCCATAAACTCCAAATATTGCCATCCAGCACCCACTATAGATGTCAGTTAATCCCTTAACACAACCTTTGATAAACACTACTTGTACGCTTCCCCTCGCTGGACTCCCAGCAGAGTGACACTACATGCACCCAACCCCAGCAACCCCGTGGCCCTATGGATTACCACACCGATAATAATGCAAGTATGATACTCGAGTACTGTACACATGTCACTTGTAGGAAATGGTACGTGATACCCCGCGTTGGCAATATCACGTCCACCACACCCGTATTAATAAATATAGTACCATATTATTCTCGATTGGTTTCTCTTTCTATCGAAGCGCACTATTCTGCCGACCAACCGACTGAGGCCCCACGGGTTCGAACCAAACATTACAAGAAAACTCACAAGGAGAGAGAGGTAAGGAGTGGAAATAAAATGAAAAAATCAAGCTAAATGAAAAAAATTGAAAAAAAAAACATACACAGTAATATCGAGGGTAAAATGGTTGTAAATGAGAAAAGTTATAAAAACACCCCAAATGACGAAAAAATGATTCGTATAGTAGTAGCAATAGTTATAATTCCAGGCACAGCGGTATTAAGAATGTATAAAAAAACAAGGGCATTACAGAGCAGACTCTCCTCCCAATCGCATCCTTACGCTCTCTATTCCCTAGACTACTAGCTGCTGTCCGCTCCCGCTGACACTCGACAATCCCCCCACCGACCCGGAACCATCCCTAAAGAAAACGCGTAAACAAAAAAAAAGACACCCAGAACCACCCTTTTACAACCCTATACAAACCTTTTTTCTTTTTCTTTTTCCTTTCAAGACTTGACAAGCCAGTACGTCAAACTCAACATTAAACCCAACACAATCGCAGTCAAAATTCCTGCTCCAGCCTTGTCTCCGGTCGTACTTGGGTCTGTCTGTAAGAGGTCGTTGGGATCCGCACCATCCCCTCCAGCGGCGGAATTACCAACACTGGTTCCACCACTGTTAGCAGTGACCGGGGGCTTCGACTTTGGTACAAGATTGTTCTGGAGAACCTCCATGACCGCCATGTGCTCTCCCACTCCTCCTTTTGCAATACCGTAAGGGGCGCCGTCGTATGTCGACTTGATCCACGAGAGTCCGCAAATCGTGCCACTAGATCCACCATTACAGGACGCAGCTGCAGCGAGCGCGGTAGCTTTCAGACGAGGAATGATAAATTCAGAGGTGAATGGTGCCATCTGGTAAGTGTATCCGAGGAAACGAGCAAAATAAGCCTTGAAAGAACGTTGGTCAGTGTTACAGGTGGGATCGGTTCCGGTAAATCCGAATTCACAAGTAGACTCCTGCATAATATTCGGTGGCTCTGTTGAGAAGAAGGGCTCTGCAGTAGCATTCATGAGCTTCTCTATTTCGTTTTTCCATTTTTGATTGGTTCCATTGGTCTAAAAGGATTGGTTAGTAAACAAGCCATAGAGCGAAGGACGAGTACGCATACAAAGTTATACATGTAAGCAGCACCGGAGAGATAGACACCAGCATTATAAGTCCACTGATAGACACTGGAAATGTTACATTCCGGGATATGAGCACCATCGAAGACCTTGTATTCCGGGCTGACCAAACCAATTTCCCTGGACCAATCATAAGCCTTCTCAGCCCAATCTGCATAAGACTGATTCCCAGTATATCTTGCCAACCGGGCGCCCATGTGGAAGAAAAGACCATTGGAAATGGCATTTTTGTAATCATATCCCTTGTTGGTTGACACAACCTGCCATCTTAGACCACCCTTACAATGCAGAGTATCCCACCGAGACGCCTGTCGGTTGAAAACGGCCTGAGCTAGCGCAAGCCACTGAGGCTTGTCCTGTGGAGGATCGGGAAATGCACGCTCAGCCGCTGTCATGGCAGCAATACCCCAGAACGCTTGATCGTCATTGCCGAGAGAAAGGGTGTGTGCCTGTGGTTCGTAGTTTGAATTTTCACCAACCTGGTGCAACATGGCCTCCGTTACGATGTCATTGAATTGATTGTCCCCAGTGAAATGCCAGTATTCGATCCAAGCCTGTTTGTTTGTTTGTTTGTTTCCGTCAGCTTTCGTTCTGTTGATCACTTTGTTGTTGGTCATGGTGGCGGTTGCATCGCATCACAAGGAACATGCACTCACCCCCATCACGGCTCCTGCCTCCCACCAGTAATATCCCTTGTCATTCTTCCCATCGGCCGTCTGGATCAGACCAAACTCGCCAGGTACGAACCACGTCTCGTTGGATGGATATAAGGCACGGAGATTTTCGGCAACAGTCTTCGCAGCCGATTTGATGGAAGCTATGACGATACCGAGGTCAGTTTAGACGTATAGAGAGATAAAGGGGGCACCCGGAGTGCGAAGGGATGGACCGACAATCACTGTCCAGATCAACGACAATAGACGACCCAAGGGTGGCAAACAACAGCGAAGAAGCTAGCAGCCGTGAAGAGGAGGATAACTTCATCTTGTATATCTATAGCAGAGAAGCCCAGGTAGGGGATTCAAGATGGGGTTACCGATAAGAGAAGGTGACCGGTACCTAATCCCCAGGAAAGATTCGAGAGTTCAAAAACGAGCGACCGGTAAAGGCCAGAGAGAGATTCGAAGCGAGCGATGAATCTGGGCAAAGGCTGAAGAGGGAAGTAGAGGGAAGTAGAGGAGGGGAAAATTTTTGAAATGTGCACCAGGCGTTCGAGTTCAGCACCGCATATGAATAAAGTTGGGGGAAAGTTGTTTGTTTTGTATTCTTTGTGTTGGTGTGCTAGGTAGCGGCAGGTAGTAAGAAGTAGAGTGTAGAGTAATATAGTTACAACTTTCTACCACGACTCAGGAGGCAAGAAGGAGAGAGAGAAGTGAAGAAATAGATGCACCTCAAATAGTATGTATAAGGTAATAATTTGTAGGCAGGTGATAGGCTTTTACCGTAGTGGTAGTGGTGGTAAACGAGGGGGAGGGGGAACGAGTGTAAGGGGAGGGGGGGAGAAGGAGCGACTCGAACAAGAATAGGGATAAGTTAGAGAGACAAGAGACCAAGAATTCCTTCGCGATGAAGGAAACAATGGGCCAGGCTGGGCTCTGGCTGGGCGTTGTATGGGGGCAAGAAAAGAGAGGAATTTCAAGCAGAACGAGTGAAAGAAAAATGGAGGAGGGAGGAGAAAATCCAGGGGGTTCGGTTCAGAAATTCTGTAATGGGAAAAATGGGAAAAGTGTTGTGGAACAAGGTACCATATGAAGGCCATAATATTATTAAAAACTTGACACACGCATGGTCCCGGTAAGCCTCCCCTTTCCCTTTCCCTCAAGCTGTAGGAAGAGTGTTTTGGGGCTGTGCTTATTTCCTATTTTGGGGTAGCCAAGGAGACTGAATCGCCAAGAGCCGCATCTACACTCCCAACCCCTTCACCCTTCTTTGGAGTGAAGCAGCCTGACGTAGGGAAGGCGAAGGAAGGCCAAGAGAAGAGGAGGAGGAGCAAGAGTAATCATACAGTCCGTATCCCATAGACTAAGCTCGAGAACTGGGGGGGGGGCGTAGTCTATCGTACTGAAATCGAGTCCGATCCAGTCCACTAACACCCATCTCATCATCCCCATTTGCTTTGTTTGAACTCGAGCACAGTCCATTGCCCGTACTCGAGTACCGTACAGTACTGTACGAGTACTTGTAAGAGTACAATCGCAATCTCATAAGTGACCGATTTATGATACCTGGATCTTGAAACACCGACCGCACCGGCAACCTGGCGCCTATGCAACTCGACTCCCAACTGCATAAGCGAAGATCCATCCTTCTAGAAACTCTCTCCCTTACCAGTATTCTCCACACCATCGTCAACCGATCTACCACAAGAAAGAAAAAAAACCACCCATACAAGTGCAATAATTCAAATCCTATTTTAATTCCTAAACTGGGAACCTGCGGATCTGAGTGCGCTTTGAAAAGTGATATTAGTAACAACAATAACAATATTATCATAATTCAAATGCCAGCACAAATGCTCAAATGCATGCATGTCACCTGACGGGTCACGAGGCCTTACATGCTCAGGATCAGGGTTATCCCACAACATCTCACTCGAAAAAAGTTCAAAAAACTGCCTACCCCTGCTCCATCTCTCCGGGCGCTCTCCCAAATTATAGTAGAGATCTACAAGTTAAAAGTGGCAAGGTATCCGGAACTCCCTCGGTCGTCTTTGATGGAGGGTGAGTGTGGAATGCATTGGCGTTCTCGAGGACTGAAAGGTATGATAATTATGATATATAGTATGGCTAAGTGCGACATTGGTTGGGTATCATAGTAAAGGGTGTAGGTAAGTTATTGTGGTCAAGGGTGCCAGGTGAAATTAAGAAATGAATGGGGACTGCGGGTTGCAAATTGACCGGTACCACGATTAAATTCTCAACCATCTAGAGTGCGCCTATTTCGGTTAAGCGCGATGAGATCTGCCGACAAGAAGGTGAAAAAGGATATGATATGGTGGCAAGAATGGTAACAAGGTATCTTGGAGAGGGGAAGAAAAGAGAACAAAGGAGACTCGTTCAATAGCAGTGTCCGGAAAAAGGGAGAGGAAATAATCAGAAATAATCATGATAAGACAAAACAGTCCTGCTCTCGGAAAACTTATACAAATACATTAATGAGGGGAACGTTCATTATCCATCGCGCACTACCGGTACCCAAAATCATGCTACCCCTCTCTAATGGCCCCATCTCCTCCAGGACCTCTTTTTCTTCCCGACAGGCCCGGACCCAGCCAATTGGTTTTCATCGGCACTCTTGTGGTGGGTTCGGTTCTTTCTCCTGGAGAAGCAAGCTCCACACCAGAAGAATGTGACAATGAGCATGCAGATAACGGCAGCCCATGTCATACCGAGGTACCGTTTCGAAATGTAGGCTCGAACACCAATTCCTCCCATCTCACGATTTATCGCGTCACGAATTTTGACGCCAGTGGTAGTTCCGATTCCCGATGCAACACCGAGGAATAGGAAGGATATCTAAAACGGGGAATCGATCAATAATGGATTCGGGGGCGGGGGAAGAGGAGCCAAACTCACCACAGCGAACATCCAATTAGAGCATGCGATAAGCCTACTCTCAATAAATCCTAGGAATCCGAGAATAATAGCGATGCCGGCAGCGGTAATTCCAATGCAGTACGTGACAAACATAGTCCTGTACGCAACTTTCAAGACATTGATAGCGGTGTCGAGGTCCTGAGTATTGACACCCAGGTCCCGCAACGTCACGCCTTGCAACAACTCCCTCTCGAAAACACCGACAGGATTGAAGGTGAACATCCCCTTCTGCTTAGTGCAGTTTGTAATCCGCTCATTGTCGTTGGAATCGCGCTCGCCTTCGCAGTAGTTCATAATAAAGACCTTGTAGAAATCGTGCAAACCGAGGCGAGAGGCAGTGGTATTAACGATGTCCTGGGCGGCTGAGTCGAGGATATTGTCGAGTGCGCTGATGCCAGTGTTTGAAACGTTGAGGTTTGAAGTATCGATCTAACGGCTCTTAGTACATGTTTGTATCTGGAGAAGATGGAGAAAAGGTTACCTTAGTGACATAAGTGTCGCCCAGGAACCCATTATTCCTACCGGCAAACAGCACTAGCATAGAAAGTATGAAGGCCGCGATAGACAGAGCTATCGGGACGATCGCTGAGAAGCGCATGCTTATCGTTGTGTGGTGTGTTGATGCTCCGTTAAGCCTCCGCAAGTAAGTACTCCGCTTAGTGAATGGAAGTGCTGGCGGTTATTACGAGTAGAATGGGGAAGAGAGGGTAGCAGGAGGTTGGATCTATCATATATATCTCCATCAGCGTCCAGTTATCATGCCATGGAAATCACTGGCCGCAAGGCGCAGGTTTGTGCTCTCTAGGTCCTTCAGATGGCCGGACCGGGTGAGTGACGCGTACGAGTACAACGGGTCAATGACGTTGTCTTGGCGGCTTGTTGCTTTTCTTGGTCAGGAATTCGTAATTATGATACGTATTGGGCTTGGCGTTACCCTATCAGGCATCACCAGGATTTGATCAGGTTTAGTTTTGGTGTTCGGGTGGATCACGGGGGGTTGGCGCACTGCCTTGATGGTGAGATGGAACCCTGTTAATTGCGAGACCAAGTGTGAGCTCCTCGTGGACTAACTTAAGTTATAGTGCCAGAACCGATAGGGGGGAGGGTTCTAACCTTCTTGCCACAGAGTGGCTTGGGCAATCATTGTTACCGTTAGACTAAAGTAAGCACGGATGCCCCGTGCACCACTTACTGTACGAGTAGGTTACGAGTAGAACCCGGGGTAATGAAATCTGATACTGCTATCGTATAATACCGGTAGCTTTACCATACACATGAAACCGCTTATCCTTCGAATTTGTCTACTTTGAATTCCAATGCAATACAATAACAAGCAGTCCGACTCTCCCCCACACGACCCCTCTAGCATCACGTTCTCAATATCTCGTATATAGTCCGCATGATTAGTCTACGAGGACTCGCACTCGAGTAGTTACTCTGCCCCATGCACACATGCCATGTGGCTGGATGTCGGACAAAAAGTGCAAAGCCTAGCACGGTTCGAGTACCGGTGTTCGCGCCAGAATGGGGAGGTGTCATAACGGTGGGGTACGGTACCGGTAATAATGTTTGGGTTCTCTTGCTTGCGAGAGTGTATCCGAGAATAAGGTGCAAGATTGTGAGATGTCACGGAACCTTATTGCCAAATGTGGTTGGGATAATTATAGTAACTCATGTGGTTGCTGGGGGAACGCTGATCGGAGGTTTGGTAGGAAAAGGGTAAATTTAAGTGGATCGCGGATTCGTAATGTGCCCTGCACTGCCCAGTGTCCAGCACTGCGCGCGGGAGTACGATTTGTCAGCCGAGCGGACAGCACACTTTTGGGCGGAGCGAGAGAGATGGAACCGGTCCTATTTCTATGTGTAGGAATACGGCCTATCCCAAGTGGCTGTGCATAGGCCACGATAACCTAGCATATCAAATTTTCATCCAATTCTCAGCCCCACCACCCGAGTGATAATATATGATTACACGCAACTACACGCACGGACAAACGGAGCAATCCCTAATACATGAATGCTCAATCATCATCTCGTTTCTAGAGAGAGCAGGAGAGTTGGATAGCAAGATGGAAAAAGGATTACCATAGATGAAGACAGATTGGAAGCATGAAAGACAGGGTGGGGAATCGGAGGCAGAGATAGAAATAATATAGCCGAAATTCCAAATCACGCTTACATTGGCGCTCAACCCTCCCGTTTCACAGGGGGTGGAGTACAAGTGCTTATCAAAGAGCTAGTGGCGGAGGGGTGAAACCAAATAATTTTTCAAAAAGAACCATTCACAGCTCACAGGATCAATCATTCAAGTTTTTCCTTTGGAGAACCTGCCCTTTACCCTCTCTTACCTAGCACTCTAGCCCCCTCCACTCCCTCATCGCGGCTCTAGGGAGTCCGTTACTGCGACTACCGACTAGCGACATATGATATTCTACCCGCAACGCTTCCACATCTTTAGGACGCCCTTCTGCCCAAGCGTGAAAGCACCAACATCCTCATGAAACCCCTCCTGATTCTGTGGATTTTGACGGACAGCGTCGCGATGCAGCCCCCGACTAACTAGAGATTCACAACTCCATAAGGAAATACTCTCGCTATAGGAGTGGAACTGGTTTATCGCGGCGCTGAAATCCCTGACGTTTGTCGGTACTTCCTGCCTAGTCTTGGTTCTGCGGGTTGCGCATGCCTCGTCTGTGTATATCTGGTGTGTTGCAGGCGGGCGGGTGAGGGGAGTTTTTGGTGATGTTTACTGAGTCACGCAGTCCGCAGATAGAAACAGGGGAGAGGGAGATGTCTTGATGATCGCTGGTGAGTTTTCGGGGAGCCAATAAACGCATTTCGGTGACTGCCTTTGTGGAATGCCTCTCTCTGTATGTGTATTGTTTGGTAGTTGCTTGCATGTAGAGAGTTGCAACCGATGGCAGAGATGTTGAGGCGAAGGTGGACTTGGATTGCTATAGACCGCTTTTCGGAATATATTCGTGAGGAGCCTGTGAGGACTGTGAGCTCTCTGAGGGGTCTTACCGCCGGGGTGCTTCATAGGGTCTTAGGTTATTCTAATTCGAACAGGGCGATTATGAGAATGAGTTAGGTGATGTTTCTCTCTCGTGGGTATTATTTGTCCGTTTCAATGATGCGACAAGAGCACTGCCCGATTTGTAGGGCATAGGGAGATAGGACGTCAAACTTGGGCGTAAATACTTGTCCTAGATATCCTTGTGTCCGGATACTTTATAAATTTACGAGCGTGCCGATAGCGGTTATGCGGTTTGCTGCGCTGAGCCTAGATACAAACTGTTTTTGTAGTTTCTCGTCTCATGGGTTTGCAGGATTCTCTCTCACAACAATAGTGCCGGTACCGTAAAAACCGGAACAACTGGACCTCACTCTAGGCCGTTGGAGTTACCTCTCCCAACGGGGTCAGTAGTATTTTCGTTTTTTATTTGTTTGAGATGAGGGCTGAAAGGCGGTTTTTTTTCGCGGTTTTGCTCCTCGTAATTAGAACGAGAAAATTCTGGGTCTCGTAGCGTGAGGTTCGGCTATTCTACTTTTTTTAGGTTAAGCGATTTGTGCCTAGTGAGTTGGTCTCTAGATCTCGGGTATTAGATTGTGTTTCGATAGTTTATTTTACATCCATGATTACTTTGCCTTTTCCTTTCATTTTTTCTTATTTGTGTGGGAGCTGCTACGAGTATTATGCTTGTGTTGCTTGGTTTATCCAAGGCTTCACTTATTCCATTAGTTTTGGGTCAACTGTTGCCGAGGATAAATCCTGGGTATTATTCATTTGTTTAAGCATACATGTATCTGTTTATGTTGAGAAACAGGAGATGTTTCTAGCCAGAGTACTCATGGAACATCGCAGCCATTGATAAGAAACACACAAATACCACAGAGGACTTGCAAACTACATAGAAGCACGATGCTAGCTATGTGTTGCCCTTCAAGGGCTTTATCCGTATTGGGACCAGGAATCAAAGTCGTATGTACCATAACATGTTCACGAAATCATTTCACCTACTAATACAAGTATTTATGTACTCAACAGCATTTTTGTTTAAATTCCCGAGAAGTTCAAAGCACTTCAGTTGGTACAACCTACCCTGAAATAGTCCAACGATGCGATGTCCCATGACCCTTTCGCCGGGTGGCTGAATCAATGCTGTCGTCTCACCGCTATATCTATCCATCCTGCCATCACCGATCAGCTGTAGAACTATCCCCAACATTAAATTAGCAACTTACAATGGCCATGGCATTAGGGCCATCTCCGTAGCCATTGATGCCAATAGAATTGGTGTTCGATTGGAACTTTTTGCCCTTGACGCCGGCACAATCCCAGCACTCCGTGTTGATCTGGACAAAGCGGTACGCGATCGGGTGGTCTATGGCCAAAGGGGAGCTTGGGTCGAGGGTGTTGCATGCCCGAATAGAGGGGCAGCTGTATTCGCGTAGGTGGAAACAGGTAAAGTGGAGGGTAATCTTGCGACACATCTTGATGTCTGGGTCGGAGTTGGTAATGGGAGGATTGGGTGGGGGAGTGACTTAGGGTACGCTGGGGTGGGATAAGTGTTTGATTGGGAGTACGGGGAAGAGAATATTTGCAGCTTGCCACAAGAGAGTCTGTTTGTATGGTGGAGAAAGTAAACTTGTCTTGGGTCGGGCTTAACTAAGCGTTCCGGGTTGATGGGGCTTCTGGGAGCTTGGATACAGGGGGCGTGAACCCTGATCAGAAAGGGTTTGTATATGGTGGGTCATATCCTATCACTCTGATATTTTCGGAGAAAAAAGGGGTATCATACCGGGACACCTCTCTAACACCGTTTGCTGAGCCCGTGCCCTCGTTGCCTAGTGTAGCATACTAGTAAGGGGTGCAATATGTTATCACACATAGATATAGAGGGTCTCGGAAGTGGATTTGGATAAAATTAGTAATGGGTCTATGATAGAATATGCAAAGTCTTAAGTATTGGATGATGCTTCATGGATAGTATTCCCGTTTCTGAGATAAGCCCCGGCCAATATCGGCAAATGTTAGGAGAACCGAGATATTGTGACCGAGATTTGATGTATGCAACTCTGGGTGTTGGTGTGGAATATTACTGTGTCACATTAGGCTCTGATATTTCACAGCGTGAAGATATGACAGATATAGTCTCTAGGGTACGGGGAGCCACAAAAAATAACTTGGAAAATGCTACTGATATCTCCTATCACAAACCACTAGCCTAAAGTGTATTAGGGTGGTGGATATATATGGCGCGGCGATAGAGCGGGGGGATTCACTGAAACTGGCGCGGTGTAGGCAGGGTGGGGAAGGTATGATCAACGACTTCTTTACCTTCTCGACATTTAAGCTATACTAACGGTAAGGGCGGGGGTATATATGGGAAGTGGCCGGGGACTTCGGATCCTTCCATGGATCACTCACCATACTAATTGCCTATCTCCATGTCCCAACCTACCCCGTTACTCAGTATACTCCTTTGATAAAGAAAGGGCGTGTCTGGAGAACCTTCTTCATATGCATAAATCGATAAAGTTACAAAAAAATACACCCCCAATTCTTCCACTAATGCCCCGCAACCTCCCATCATTCATGTCTTCTATCAAACCGAAAATCACCCTATTTAGAAATTTCTGCTAATCGGAACTATTCCGCCATTCTCTGCATTCGGCGACCACTCCATCGCTTCTACCTCCTCCGGAACTGGCGGACTGACAGCCCAAGTCTCATCAACATCCATTTTATCATGCTTCGTCCACCACGCCTTCGCCCTGCCTTCGCCCAACAGGGTAAG